TAACCCTTGAAGTTCTGTGATCAGAGGCTCCGGGTCACACTCTAAAAAGAGCTCATCTGTTGGCTTCAACCCATGGTGGAGGCAAGAGAGAGCACTCATTGCTACAGGTGCGCCATTCCTGCAGGTGCCTTCCTGGACAGTAAGGCATTGATAAAGCCCATTCTCCCAGAGGGATACTCATCTGTGTGTGTCTTAACAGGACGGGTTCGCCTAAGTAGTTTATATAGTTTTATATTGGATGATCCTTCTAGTGTTAAATAATCCTAATTGTGTGTGTGTGGTCTGAAAAGCCTTCCTCTGCTGGCTTGCTACTTTGAGAGACCAGTGCAGCGTTAGAACCTTGTAGCTTTCACAGTGCGCTCATCAACAAGGGCTCTGAAAGATGCTTTTGCTGAAGTAACAAGGATGCACTTTGCGAACCCCGTGGCTGTTTCTGCAGCTCTACTGCCCCTAGGGTTCCCTCCAGAGGCCGGTGCTACCGTGAAGTTGGACTCTACAACTCCAGGAGCACAGCCACGGTGGGCAGGGTCACCCCTAGCCAGCACTGCTCCGTGCTGCATATTTGCAAAGGTAACAGAAGGTCTCCTTGCACCTGCAGCACCTGAGGTTTTGTAATTAGAGCTTTATTCCTTTGGCTAAAGCAAAACAGGGAAACTCTCTGAGTCTTAAAAAGTGCATTCCTGGCTGGCGCCGTGACTCACTAGGCTAATGCTCCGCCTGCGGCACCGGTATCCCAGGTTCTAGTCCCGGTTGGGGCTCTGGATTCTGTCCTGGTTGCTCCTCTTCCAGTCCAGCTCTCTGCTGTGGCCCAGGAAGGCAGTGGAGGATGGCCCTTCCTGCACCCGCATAGGAGACCAGGAGGAGGCACCTGGCTCCGGCTTCGGATCAGCGCAGCGCGCAGGACGTAGCGGCCATTTGGGGGATGAACCAACGGAAAGAAGACCTCTCTCTCTCTCTCTCTCTCTCTCTCTCTGTCTAACTCTGCCTGTCAAAAAAAAAAAAAAAAAGTGCATTCCTACTTGGGGAGTGAAACTTTACAAAACTGATTCTCCTGACAACCCCGCCAGATGGGTTTGCTGATTACAACTGTTTACTGGATGAAGAAACAGGCCCAAACAGAAGCCAGAACTTAAGCCCTTGGCTTGGATTCCCGATACCTATGCACAAAGTAGCCTCTTGGGGCTCCCGTTGCTCGGCTATAAATTGGACATGAGGATGCAGTAGCTAGGACTTTATACAGTAGGACAGAATGACGCATGCTGCTCTTAATAGTTCATTCATTCATTCATTCATTCGTTGACTGCAGGTAGCAAGTGCTTCTTTCCAGGCCTGATCTGAGGAGCAAAGAGCTACTAAGATAATTAAAGAGACACGCCCACACCATCAATAAAAAATCACGATACTCCGCTTACATTAAGCCAGCCGTCAGGCATACTTTAACACCATCCCCCCTGGACTGGGTTTGTTGGGTTCACGCTTTGTAGATGCAGAAACTGAGGCCTGGGGAGTTCAGCAATTTGCCCAAGGTCACACAGGAGGAGATGGAGGGGGCTGGGGTCTGACTCAGGTTCGACTGAGGCTGGAGCTTTCCTTCTCAGTCTCTCACGGCCTCTTCTACGCTGGAATCCGTCTGCGCTGGGCTTGCTTTGGTCACATGTGGCAGGCTTGCCAAGGGGCCACACAAGCCTGTGGTGGGTAGGCCAGTGACCCAAGAACTCGGATGAGAGCCGCTGAGACATTCAGGTGAAAGTATGAGGCTACTTCCGGAAGTTCATGGGAAAGTGGGCTATTTGATGAGCTATTTGAATGATCCAGACTCTCTGGATCATGGTCGGATCATGGCTGCACTGGGCTGGACAGGGGTGGACTGAGAGGGTCCCTCACCTGCTCCCGCCTCAGCAGCACTCTGAGCCCTGATTCGTGAACTACACAGGGTGCCTCTGTTAATTTCCCTAAATGTCTGCCCCGCATAAGGAAGACATCCAGAATCCTATCAGTTGCCCTTTTAAGAAAACACTGAGGCAGCTACTCATTTATTTACTTCCTATTTGTTTATTTATTTATGAGGCAAAGGGGTGTGGAGGGAGAGTGCTCCTATCTTCTGGTTCACTCCCCAAATGCCTGCAACAGCCAGAAACTCAATCTGGGTCTCCCACGTGGGTGTCAGGGATCCAGCTGGAACGAGGAATCACCTCGTTCCTCCCAGGATCTGCATTAGCTAGAGGCTAGAATCAGGAGTGGAGCTAGCAATTGACCCAGCTACTGTGAAATGGGATGTGTGAACCTTGACCTGATCCTACGCCCCAGGCCAAATGCCCATCCCCTTCATATATATATTTATATTTATTAGGCAGGACACAAGACACCCCCCACACACACACGTGGGCACACACACAATGTGGTTTTTTAAAAAAGATTTATTTATTTGAAAGTCATAGAGAGAGACAGAGAGAGAGAGAGAGAGGTCTTCCATCCACTGGTTCACTCTCCAATTGGCCACAATGGCCGGAGCTGCGCCCATCCGAAGCCAGAAGCCAGGAGCTTCTTCCAGGTCACCCATGTGGCTGCAGGGGCCCAAGGGCTTGGGCCATCTTGTACTGCTTTCCCAGGCCATAGCAAGAGCTGGATCGGAAGAGGAGCAGCCGCGACTAGAACTGGTACCCATATGGGATGCTGGCGCCTCAGGCCAGGGCGTTAATCCGCTGCGCCACAGCGCTGGCCACACACAATGTGATTCTTCGAAAAGAGCAAGAAACGACGCTGAAGCCAGGCTGGGTTTCTGTCCTGCCTTCTTTCTGGCTCATTGAATTCTAACCCAGAGGCAGAAGGCTCACTGCATTCTGTTTCATTTTAGAAGTGACATGGACACTTTGAGATTCAATGATTGTTTACAGCCCTTGTCTCCACTGTTGAGGGACAGTTTTTTTTTTCCTTCATACTATTCATTGAATTCTTTACTTTGTGTAGGGTTAATCTTATGAGTATAAAGTAAACTGAAAGTGGATCATTATAAGAAATAAGAGAGGGAATAAGAGAGGAAGGAGGAGGAGGGTGGGGTGAGAGGCATCCCTGTGTTTCTCAATCTGTATATATGAAATACATGAAAAAAAAAAAAAAGGACAGGCTGTGATGTATTGTCACCACAAAAAAGATAACTATATGAGGTCATAGATTTTTTTAAAAAGATTTATTTATTTATTTGAAAGTCAGAGTTACACAGAGAGAGGAGAGGCAGACAGAGAGGTCTTCCATCCACTGGTTCACTCCCCAATTGGCCACAACGGCTGGAGCTGCGCTGATCCGAGGCCAGGAGCCAGGAGATTGGTGGGGAGGCCCAAGGACTTGTGCCATCTTCTGCTGCTTTCCCAGGCCATAGCAGAGAGCTGGATTGGAAGAGGAGCAGCCAGGCCTTGAACCGGTGCCCATATGGGATGCTGGCACTGCAAGTGGCGCGGCTTTACCTGCTATGCCACAGTGCCGGCCCCTATTAACTAGATTTAATACTTCCACAATGTATATAGACATCAAAACATCATGCTCTACATGGTAAATACACACAGTTTTATCTGTCAGCTTAAAAATAAAAACAAAACTGAATTTTCATAAAGATAATATTTACTATGCTCATTAATATATTCTCTATTTGTTGACTTTGTTTCTTGCTCCTCAGTTGATGGATAAATAAACTATGGTTTATTCATCAGTAGGAGTGATTTGATAATAAAGAGGCATTGAATACTGGGGGAAAAGAAAGGAGCCGGAGATCTTGAAAAGCAACATCCACTTTTACAGGTGGCTTCAGAAACATGCTCTGTTTTTCTCATTTCTTCAATGAACCTATGATGGGGGCATCATTACCTCCCTCGTATAGATGGACAAACCAGGGCCCGGGAGACCGTGTGATAGGTGGGCAGCGTTGGCAGACTGAGACTGTAACCTTATAACAGCAGACACGTGCCACCTTTTATAGCTGACAAGGATTTGAGTTACCTGTCTAACCTCTCAACCCATTCGCCCAACAAACCTGGTAGGGCGCACCTGCTCTTTAGCTATTTTGCGCTGTGGCTGGCAGTTGAACTAGCCTTCTTCTCCCTGCTTCTTGAATTTTCTAGTGGGCAGAGACTCGGCCACTTGGTGGTGCTGTGGGAAGATGTTTCTCCTGAGAACTTGCCTTTGAAAGGTGCAAACACCATAGACCGCACTTGAAGGGAGAGAGGTGTCCTTCATATCTGTGTGTGTGTGTGTGTGTGTGTGTGTGCCGGCTTGCAGCATCTGGCCACATCCTGCTAACTTTGGGCAGGTGGGACTCTGAGTTCAGACATTTTAGGAATCTAAGGGGCGTGCTTGTCTTGGGGACAGGGAAACACAGAGTGAGTGAGGTTCTCAGTTAATCCCCAGTCCTGCGGGTTTCCCCGGTGCCCCACCTGTCCTGAAAGAAATCAGTGGCTCTTCCCACCACGTGTAACACGCAGTTTCTTTCAGGAGTCGTTAGCTGTACAGCCCAGTGGCTTTTCTCCTTCTGTGCGCTGACTTGTGTTGCCTTCTGCGGTCTTTTGCGAGATGTGACAGCCTATGCACACTGCTGCCCTGCGTCCTGTCTCCTCACGTGCAGGCAGGGAGACCTCACCTTTGGTCTCTCAGTCTCTTAGCACATGGGGAAAACAGATGGATCTGGTGCCATGCAAAATATCCTCGTGAGAACTGAAAGAGCTCGCCACTGGGGCAGCACTTTGTAAAGTGCAAAGCACGGTGCAGATGGGAGGGACTGGGAGCTCCCTGAGAGCCGAGGGGCGTCTCTACGTTACCATTTATCCCTCCCCCACGCGACTGCATTGTCACAGGTGCTGAACTCGCATGTGCCCAGTGAACGAACGGCCAGGCGGACGCAGAGCGTCACGAGTGGGTGGGCACACTGGAAATGTGGCCACTGACCTAAGGACTTCAGGGGTTGGGGCTGGGCGAGGGAATTGGAGAAGCTGGCTCTTGAGAGGCATCTGGGACACGCGCCTCCTCTGCCAGCAAGCAGCCAGTAGATGTCTCACTGGCTGGCCGTGCGGGCAGCCTGGCTGCACTTGGCCTGAGTGAGCGGACCGAGGGCTTCTGCCGGGACAGGCTGGTGACCTGCCTGGAACGCCCTCCCTCTTGTGCCTGCTCTTGGAGCCCAGGTCCCTGGTGACAGTAAACAGAACGTACTCCAGGCCTGATACGAATCTGCCTTGGATCTTGGCAGGGTGGGGCTGGGGGACCTGTCTCCCATGGTTAAGAAAATACAAATAAAAACAGCACAGGTAAATATAGGCAATTATGGAGGAAACCCAGGTCTCAAGCCCATTTTCCCCTGACCTAGAAATTTTTTTTGGGGGGGGGTAGGGGAGGGAGAGGGCAGTTTGGGATAGAGTTACTTGGGGCATTGTAATTGCTTGACGTAGTTACTATAAAATTGGTAGAATAAATCTAATGATAAAGTTAGTATTTGAGCAGCAGGCATAGCTGGTGCTGTTTTGCCAGTGCTTTCCACAGGCCACGCAGGTATGACGCTAAGTTCTGCATAGGTGCTACCTTCATTCATCCTCCGAGGTAAGTATCAACCCTGTAGGATTATAGCATCCCGACTCTAATGGTAGATAATAGTACTATACCTATTTTACAGATGAGAAAAGTGAGGTTTACTCACTTCCTGAGACTCTAGATAGAGCTAGCAGGTGGAAGAGCTACAACTCAAACCATTTGTCTATCCATTCATTCACTCCACAAACACTCACTGACCACCTACTTCTGTTTCTTTTTACTTGTTATGAATGTGGCTGCTAGAAAAGTTAGAAATGCATGAGGGAGGGGCTAGTGCTGTGGTGCCGTGGGTTAATGCCCTGGCCTGAAGCGCTGGCATCCCATATGGGTGCTGGTTTGAGACTCGGCTGCTCTACTTCCTGTCCAGCTCTCTGCTATGGTCCGGGATAGCCATGGAAGATGGCCCAAGTCCTTGGGCCCCTGCACCCACGTGGGAGATTCAGAAGAAGTTCCTGGCTCCTGGCTTCAGATCGGCGCAGCTCCAACTGTTTCAGGCAACTGGGGAGTGAACCAGCAGATGGAAGACCTCTCTCTCTCTGCCTCTCCTCTCTCTGTGTAAGTCTGACTTTCAAATAAATAAATAAACCTTTAAAAAAATTGCATGAGGGCAGCATTTCCAAAAGTTCACAGAAAGGTAAAATTAAAAGGCATGTTGATTTTGGTGCAGAAACGCTAAAATCCCTGCATGGATTTTCTGTCACATGCGATTTCCATGAACTTTTGGAAGAGTGTCTGTGTGGCTCATATCATCTTTCTGTCGGACACAGCTGCTTCAGACCTGGCCATCCTGCGCTCAAGGGCAGCTGGGAGGAGCCGGGTGAGCCACTGAGTCATTGCAATGCCATGAGGTAACCTGGGAACGGAGTGCCCTGGGGACGGAGAACTGAACCTTCAGTTCTGCCCAGCGCAGGGTCAGAGGAGAGGTAAATGCCCTCAGATGAGCACCCTAGATGAGTAGGAGTTGGCTGTCCGAGGACAGCAGAGGGGGCATCCCAGACAATGGGCACAGCAGGTGCACAGGCTCAGAGGCATGGAGCAGTGGGAAGGGCACCTGGAATGCGAGGTGCATCAGGGCGGGTGTGAATATGAGTCAAGGGCGTCCTATGGGGTGTGACCATGCAGGAAACGGGAAGGCAGCACTATGAAGCCAGAAGAAGGAGCACTGGTGGTGCCAGCTTCCATGCCCCATGGTTGCTCCTGCAGAGGTCAGCTCGTTGACTCCAGGCCTGTTTGTTGAGTTTCTGTTGCGTGCTAGGCATTGTCTCGGGACTACAAGGCAGGGAACAAGGCAGATGGAAGCCACTGCTGACAGGCAGGGCACAATATCCAGGGCAAGGAGGAAAGAGAACAAACGGGTCAGAGAGGTGGAGTGACTCAGATGAAGTCACACAGCTGGGAACCAGTAAGACCAGGATTCTAATGAGTTCCTGTGGAACGAATGCCAGCACTCTGCTTGCTTTGCCTGGACCGACCTTGTCCTGAAGGCCCCAGCGGATCAGCAGAGTTTTGGAGGAGGCAGCCCAGCGGCAGATGGGTGTTTCAGGGAAGAACTATGGTGGTCACACGGAGGAGGAAAAGCCCTGCGATAGTGACTAAGAGTGGTCAGACTCGTGCTTTGCAGTTCTTGGCATCCGTCATGGCCACCTCCTTGGCCTCTCTGCGGCCCCCATGCCTCCCCACGTCTGTTTTCAATACCGTGGCTAGAGGGAGACGGTCCAAACCTGAGTCTGACTGTCACTGCCTTAAGCAAAGTTGGCCAATGGTTTTGTGCATGGCCCGGGATGAAATTCACACCTCCAGCATCACTCCATGACGTCCTGCACGGTTTGGTCCTCTCTTAACTCTCTGGACTCAACTCCTAGTACTCTGCCTTCTTCACTCCACCCACAGGGGCTTTCTGCCCGCGGGCCTTTGCATAGTTCCCCTGCCTGGAAGCTCTCCCTGGATATCCTGAGTGTCCCACTGGTATGTACCCTCCCTTGCTTCCTTGGGGCCCGTGCTCACATGTCACGTGACCAGAAAGTCCTCCACTGGTCACCCTCTTCATTCTTACTCCCTGGCCCCTCCCACTATCTGCCATGTCACACACTTACCTGTCCAGGGCTCATTGTCTGTCAGTCAACGTAACGAAGTCAGGAACTATATTTCCTTTATTTTGTTGTTTGTATCCCTAACACCTAGCATCATGAGTCAGCACTTAGTTAATACCACTAAGTGCATGAGCCTATTCAGGGAGCACCCTGCAGGGAAAAGCTCTGTAGTCCAAGCTGATGCTCCCAGAACCCTCCGCAGGACCTCAACGGAACCCCGCGAGACTCCCGCACACCCTGCCTTCGACACAGCCACTGTCTCCACCTGCTGGCACCCACCCCTTCCCGGGTGGCGCACCGCGTCTTCTGCTCTGCAGTCCTGCCAATACCTTCCCCGTCGACAGGAATTCATCTTGTTTCAGTTTCTTTTTTTGCTACTGGAACCTTCCACCGAGTCTCTGCTCTGTGATTCTCGCAGGAAGAAGCTATCTCATTTTCCAGCATGAAGTTAGAACAGAGAAAACAAAGCCAGAGGGACTGCTGCCAACCGCCACGTGCCCCAGGCCCTTCACCTGTGCATGAGGATCGAGGAGGGGATGAATCTCCTGCAGGAGGCAGTCAGGTCAGTGCCGGAGTCACCCGGGGCCACCGCCTGTTCCACTCTGTCCCATGCTGCAGTGGACGCTCTGCCTTCTCCGTCTGCAAACAGGAGAGATTGAAAGCAAAACCGCACCCTGGGTTGTTTTGATGGTGTCCCTGGCATGGATTCTATTTGTGCCTTGTTTCCTGATGTCACCTATCAATGCCCGTGAAAAGATCTTGCCTTACATTCTTTTTTTAAAATTTTTTATTTATTATTTATTTTCTGACAGGCAGAGTGGACAGCGAGAGAGAGAGAGAGAGAGAGAGAGAGAGAGACAGAGAGAAAGGTCTTCCTTGGCCGTTGGTTCACCCTCCAATGGCCGCTGTGGCCGGCGCACTGCGGCCGGCGCATCGCGCTGATCTGATGGCAGGAGCCAGGTGCTTCTCCTGGTCTCCCATGGGGTGCAGGGCCCAAGCACTTGGGTCATCCTCCACTGCACTCCTGGGCCACAGCAGAGAGCTGGCCTGGAAGAGGGGCAACCGGGACAGAATCCGGTGCCCTGACCGGGACTAGAACCCCATGTGCCAGCGCCGCAAGGCGGAGGATTAGCCTAGTGAGCGGCGGCGCCAGCCGCCTTACATTCTTTATACACAAAACGTGGGAGGATGGATCTGACTGCTCACCTCCTGCTGTTTGCAGTGCTGTTTTGTTTCTTACTAATTCACTCAGTCCTCACCAAAAATCTTCTATGATAGGTTAAAAAACATTTAATGAAAAAATTTTGTTTGAAACAGGGGTGGGGTGGAGTGGTTCATCTCCCATTCACTGGTTTTCTCCTCAAATGTCTGCAACAGCTAGGACTGTGCCAGTCTGAAGCTAGAAGGACAAAACTGAATCCAGGTCCCCGACACGGGTGGCACAGGCCACGCACTAGTGCTGCCTCCCAAGATGGACATTAACAGGAAGCTGGAATGGAGGTAGCTGGGGCTCAAACCCTGGCCCTTTGATATCGGATACAACATTCCACACAGGGTCTTAATGGCTGTGCCAAACACCCGCCCTTAACATTCTCATTTGAAAAATGAGAAACCAAAAACAAACAGGAAGTTGCCCAAGATCACACAGCTAGAAAGGGGTAGAGCCAGGACTTGCACTTGGCAGGTCTGGGTTGCTGAGTCCATGTTCCAAGTCCCCATCGGCTATGATTTTGCTGTTTCCCATCAGAAGTCATACCCCATTGGAGAGGTAATTACAAGTAGGATGGGGTTGGGGGGGGTGGCACTGTGGCTTAGCGGGTAAAGCCTGCTGCCTGCAGTGCTGGCATCCCATATGTGCACTGGTTCGAGTCCTGGCTGCTCCACTTCTGATCCAGCTCTCTGCTATGGCCTGGGAAAGCAGTAGAAGATGGCCCAAGTCCTTAGACCCTTGCACCTGCGCGAGAGACCTGGAAGAAGCTCCTGGCTCCTAGCTTTGGATCATCACAGCTCTGGCTGCTGCGGCCAATTGGGGTGTGAACCAGTGGACGGAAGACCCCCACCCCACCCCTGCCTTTCTGTAACTCTTTCAAATAAATAAATAATTTTTTTTTTTTTTAAAAAAAGGAAGTGGGACGGGGTGGGTGGTGCCCTCTTGAGGCTCTGCTCTTGATGGGTGGGCCCGTGATGGGTTCACGGATGCTGGGGCTATATCCACAGTGTCTGTTTCTTGTGTGCATCCCTCCTCTCTCAAGACTGAGTGTCTTGTCACTGGACGCCCTCTGCTGTGTCACAGTGCAGCAAGACAGCCCTCGGCAGGGGCTGAGCATGGGGCCAGGCTTCAGGACATCTCAGCTTCCGAACCTCTGAGGAGCAAATTTCTTTACAAATTACCTAGTATAGCACCAGAAAACCGAGTTGAGACACCATGTTTACAGTCTAGCTTTCAGGCTCATGTGTCAACTTGAGTTATTTAGCCCACATTCAAACAGCTTGGGTCCAGCCAGGAGGTGAGGTGGCTGGGGGTCAGCTGAATGCCCTCCCTGGTGCCTGCTACTCCAAGACTGGATGGAAGCTGCCTGAAGGTAGCCGAGCCTGGTCTGACTTGTCCTAGCGCATCCCTAGCCCCAGATGCATGAAATGCGTCAACTTGGGTTTCTTAACTATCGAATATTTACTCCTCAATGTATGCAGGTGTAGAGACCCAGGCTTCCTTAGCGTCTCGCTTCACCATCCCCTGGGGTCTTAGAGGCCTATTTCCAGCTTGGCAGAGTGGGACGGGCACACCCACGTTTTAAACACCCTGGCCAGCAATCACCAAGCATCACTGGTGCTTCTGTTCCTTTACATCGATTTGGTAGCCAGGGCTGGGAAACGCGTCCCTGGCTGAGTAGCTGCCGGGAAGCTCCCCATGACGGCCGGAGGAGCGTTGAGTTTTGGGTGGGTTTTGAGACTTCTGCCGCACTGCAGAAAAGTATGCTTTTCGGGTGCTGTTTAGTGAAACTTGTCCATTAGGCAGCATTCAAATCAGAATTGTCACCATCTTACATAAAACCTCGTTTAGACGAATGGGAGAACAGTGTCGACCAAAGTGTGCCCATGAACGGATGTCATTAATAGAGGTCCAAGCCGGGGAGAGTTTAGGGAGCTGGCTTCAAGCCTGGACTTGGGCAACTGCTGCTTGATCACAGGCGACTTCTTTAACCTCTTAGAGAATCCATTTTCTTGGCAGTGGAACGGGGATTCTAACACCCACCAAGCAGTTTTACGAAGGTTAGATGGAATATATACACAAAATAGAGGACCAGCGAGAGGATGGTAGAGTGCTACCTGTCATTTATGGATCGGTATATAAATATATGTATAATATCTACTAAATATAAATATGTAAGTGTTCTATATATAGTAGATACGTGACTACTGATATTACTGTTTTCTGAACAAGATTTCCCGTGAATGAGAATGGATCTTCTTCCTGTTGAATTGCGTCAACAATACAAAGTGTAATACAGGACAACTATGGAGGAATGTGTAAGATGTAGGCCAGTGTCAAGGTTCCGAGTGCGCATGTAACACCTGTCCTGTGTCAGCATGAAACCAGCAAGCAGCCTCTACTCAGGCAGAGTGATCAAACCGCTTTCTATCCCTGCCCAGAATTCTAGCGGGAGACACGAAGAGGACGGGTGAAGTGTGCCCCTAAAAGCCACGACGTGTTACGTGTGTCTCTCAATCCTCACCTGATTTGTGAACCACGCCGTTATCACTGCCGATGCCATGTGTATGGTCACCATCACCCCCTCCCAGGTGAGAGGACAGAGGCACTGTGGGGAAAATAACGGCCCAGGATGGCTACAGCAGGTGGCCCGTGGATGTGGCCAGTCTGACCCCAGAGCTCAGGCGGTTACTGCAGGAGCCTGGCTGTAGTTGGAGGAGGTGCTTCATGTACGCGAACCCGCCCTTGTGCACGGTGCACACTAGCACTGTGCCGCGTGGAGCCCGTTACAAATGCTGTAGGGATTCCGTGAGCAGCTGGACTCTCAGCGCATGCCAGGGACCTCCTCCAGCACCGGTGCCTTCCCGCCTCCTGGTTCAACGACAGGTGACAGGCGGCACGGCAGAGAGCAGGAGCTGAGGGAGGCACATGTAGGGTTGCAGTCCTGGTGCTGCTGTTCAGGAGCTGGGTAACCTGAGGCGAATTACCTAACCTTTCTGATCCGATGTCCTCAGCCCATGGCAGGTGCTGTTCATTCAACAGGTAGGGGTGAAATCCATAACACTGTCAGCCAGCATGATCGAGGCCGTGCCAGCACCCCACATCTCAGCGGGTTAACCCAACAGCACCTTCATAGTCACCCAGTGCGGGCTGGCTGCGGCTCTCCTGGAATCTCTACACGGGCCCCGGGCTGGCTTGGGGAGGTTCCAGCTCCGTCCCCATGATTGCTCAGGCATGGAGAAGCAGCCCTGGCAACCTGCTCGCGTATCCCTTGAGGTTCCCACTTGCAAGCAACACGACCATCCCCGTCTCCCGCCACTGGCCTCAGCAAGTGGGAATGGCCAGAGGGTTCCCACCCAGCTCAGGGGAGGGAAAGAACCAAACAAACTATTGGGTGAGTTTTCACGGCCACTGCGGACACAATCACAGATCCTCCAATCAGAACTTTCCAAAGAGGCAAAAGGGAGCTTTGAGAGGTTCAACAGTTCAAGGTACCGGGAAGCCAGGACTCCATGGCGGGCCGCTCGCTCTCTTAAACCTGCAGGTAGACTGGTGGGGGCTGGGGGACCCCGCCAGGGTGGTGGACCCGACAGGTGTGAACAAATGCACCCTTTGTGTGTGCCACGTCTCCTGCGGCGGCAGGATTCACTTCAAGCATGGGTGCAAGGTACATCAAAGAGCTCCTGGAAAAGAAAATGCAACACGTGTGTTGATTGCTGAAATCCATGCTTGCCAGGAGAGGAACTGAACCCGAGAACAAGAGTGCAGCCCAGCCAGGTACAGCAAGGACGGGGCCACTGCAACTGGGGCGGGGCGCAGAGGCCCGGGGGAGTCCAGGTGAGGCGCCAGACAGGAGGGAGGGCGACAAGGAGTGACGGCGGAAAGGATGGAACCAGGCGGCGGCAGGCAGGGGTCGCGTCCCGGGTGCATAAGCAAAGAACGGCCCGGCCGGTCCCAACACACCGCACCCGGCCTCCGCGGCCCAGCACCTCGCACCACTTCCAACTGCCCCACGGCCATGTCCTCGGGCTCTCTTCTTCTTCCTCGCCTGCTCAGCAGGTCGGGGGCAGCGTCCCGCGTGTGGAGACCCTTCCCGGCTGACCCGCACCTGTGGGTCCCGGTCGCCGCTCCCAGCTCCAGGACCTGGCCTTTCCAGGTTAAGAGAGGTGCAAAGAAGCCAGGAGGCCTGCAGGGCGCGGCGGCCGGGGGGTCCCTGGTGTGCCCACCTCGGACCGCGGTCTCCGCGGGCAGACCCGGCGCGGCCCTGGGCGCGGTGGGAAGGCCGGCGGGCCCCGGGCTCGGCCTCTGAGGCCCTCTCCCGGGCTGTCGCGGCTCGGAGCGGCGGCCGGGGCGCGCAGCAGCGGGTGCGCCGCCGCGGGAGCGCGGCCGTGACTCGCCGCCGGAGCCGGACCCCGCCCCGCCGCCCCTCCCCCAGCCCCGCCGCCACACCGACCGGAAAATGAACGGGCCCCGGCGGCCCCGGCGGCCCCGGCTCGCCGCGCTCTCGCTCTCCGGGGCCCGCGTCCCCGCAAGCCGCCGCCGCCGCCACCGCCGCCCCGGCGCGAGCAGGAACGGAGACCGAGCGGCCCGAGCCGGAGGCGGCGGCAGGCCCTGGAGAAGCGCCGGGCACCGCGGCACCCGGGCTGAGAGCCCCTCCCCCGCCCGGCGAGGACAAAGCCCCCGAGCCGGCCCGCGCCGCACAAAGGGCGAGTCCGCGACACGCACCCCAGCCCCCTCCCGGCTCGGGGTGGCCCCAGCGGCGGCGGGGCGGCGGGGGAAGCCCCACGGCCGCGCCGCCCCCCGCGCCCCTCCCCCGGGGCCGCGAGCGCGCCGCTCCGCCCCCCGGCCGTCTGCGCGTCCTGCCGGGGAGGGGCTGGGGGCGCGGCGCCCCACATAACACTCCCCCTCCGGCGCGCGGAGCCACCCCGCTCCCTCCTCCCGCCGCCGCCGCCGCCGCCGCCGCCGCCGCCGCCGCGGCCGCCACCTCGCCCGACGCTCCGCAGCTCGCCGCGGCCGGGGGGCGGTGCGCGGACCGTGCGCGCCCGGGGCGCCAGATGTGCAGTTCCCGCGGCCGCCAGTGACCGAGCCGCAGCCCGGGCGGGATCGGGCCGCCTCGCCCATGCTGCGGGGGCGACCTTAAGCGCACCCCGGCTTCCCTCGCCTGGGACCCCGACACCCTTCCTCTTCCTCTCCCCACAACCTCCCCCGAGCGCTGTGCCCGGTTCTGCCCGCGCCAGCCCGGCTCGCCTCCCCTCTGGACATGGAAGCGGCCGCTGCGCCCGCGGCGAGGGACGGCCCGGACTGGAGGCCGGGGGCTCCGGGCTCTCCCCCGGAGGCGGGGGCGGCGGCGGCGGCGGCCCCCGAGCCCAGGAAGCCGCACGGCGTGAAGCGACATCATCATAAGCACAACTTGAAGCACCGCTACGAGCTGCAGGAGACCCTGGGCAAAGGCACCTACGGCAAAGTCAAGCGGGCCACCGAGAGGTTTTCGGGCCGAGTGGTGAGTGAGGGGCGTCCCGGGGCGGGGTGGGGGTCCGTGAGCGCTGGGACCGAGCGAGAACCCCTCCGCCGCAAGCGCCCCGTGACGCAGGCGTGTCTCCCCAAACACTTGTTACATCCTGTCTGCACATATTTGGGGGGCTTTTAATCCCCCTTTATCCCGGCAGCCTAGCGCTGTGTAGGATTTGCAGGTTATTTTGCAACTTTAGGACTCGGGGGGTCTCCCTGGAGGGACCGCGTGCGCGCCGTGCCCCGGGATGTCCCCTCAGTCCCCTGTCTCTGCGTTATCCCCCATCACCCCTACAAAGCCCCTCTCTGCATCCTCTTGAAACTCCCGGCTCGCATCGCCCTGACGCTGCTGTCCCTGGAAGGGAGGGCGGACTTCTGCCCCCCCCCCCTTTTTTTTTAGAGAAGGGTAGGGAGCAAAAATAAACCCAACCACTGCATGCCTGAGAATTGTGACAGTTGGCATCGTGGCTTCTGGAAATGCCCAGGGCATGGTATCCAGGCAGGCGCTGATCGGGGCACCGGGGGGAGCCGTTCAGACACAGACGCTGCAGGGCTGAGTTGCGGCAAAGTCAGCTGCCATGCACGCAGGTCCTGGCTGCGCTGCTACCAGATTGTCGGAGGGGTCTCGCCCAGCTGCCCCTGAGACAGCTGAGACCCTACTGGGGTCCCAGCTCCCCTGGCGCAGCCCGGATCCTGATCTGCAGAAGAGGGCCTTGCGATGGCACACTGCTTGTGGCTGGGGAGTTGGACTGTTGCAGAAATATTGTGTGTGGTGTGTGGCAGAAAATTAACATGGTTCTTTGGCTGGAAGCAGATCAGATGTATTTTCATCGATTTCGGGCCAAAGCCAGAAACTAATTGTGGGAATCCCCATAGGCACTTCTGGGGGGGATGTTTGGGGGCCCAGGGTTGCTCATAAACTTGACAAATGGCCACAGGGGCTTGGGGGGGGGCAAAATGAGCTGTCACATAAAGGGTTGATGTTGACGTCTTTTTCCTTGTGCATTTGTGCAGGGGTCAGTTCTGTGGGCAGAGTGGGCACCAGTCAGCTAAGTTGAGCCCCCAGATTCTTGGATACCTGGATAACTTCATTTCTCAGATCTTGGGCTGATACAACTTTAGCCTATAACTTTTAGAAAAGAAGCCTGTTATCGATTAATCGGAGATTCGGGGTGGTGTATTTGTTTTTGAAGGCTGCCTCCGGAAGAGTTGGCTAATTCTTTAGCGAGCAAGTAGCTGAGGATTCACGCTGGGCAGGTGCGGCCGCTGCAGATGGAGTACTCTGAGGAGGAGAAGGGCCGTAAGAATGCCCTCGGGGGTCCGTAGAAGGGGCCCAGGACATCATTCATGCTCCTCTGGCTGAGTGTTGAAGAAGCAGAAACCAAGCTTAGCTCCCTCCTTGCGCCTGTTGTCTTAATAGCTGTTGAAGAATCGCGCTGGGAAGTTGGAAAGCAGAATAATGAAAAGCAGACGGGGCTTGCGCTGCAGGTTGAGGATGTGAATGTGAGGAGGGAGGGGTGGAGCAGTAAGGGTGTGTCTGGGGTCTGTGGAAGGGACCCTGCTGCCTACATGCTGTGTGTAGGAGTGGACCCTCCTCTTTTGGTAGACGCCTTTCTGAGCTGCTTTGGCGTTTGCTGGCGGTGGTTCGCCTAGCTCCCTGATTCAAACCAGGTTAAAAATGAAAGGGACTTCCATTAGTGGGCAGGAGCCCTTTATCTGCAGAAAACTGTGAACATTCCATCAGGATTTCACCAGATGACCACTAGGGGGCGCCCGGAGAACGGTGGAGGCGCCACCTCTCAGCTGCGAAGCTTTCAATCTGCTGTTATTGTCCAGCCCGAGTTCAGTTTCCCATTGTGCTATTAATTTCAGCTAAATCTCCTGTTTTACTCAAAAATTATGTAGAGATTTCGAAGCTGGCAGCAGATCCAGGCCCAGATACTGGCAATCCCCAAAACTGCTTCGTTTATTCAGGGAGCTGTTTTCTATTTGGTAGTTCTACTAGCCTGATCCCCTGGTGAAATCCTCGCATGGAACAGATGGGAAGACTGAGGTTTGGCCCCGAATCCTCCCCCTGCCGAGCGCACTGCTCACAGATGGCATGAGAACGTAAGTGAGAAGCAGGAACTGTCAGGTGGCAAATGCCCCGTGCTTGGCTGAACAGAAGAAAAATCACACAAAAACAACCCAAAAAGTGGTCAGCAGATTGCTCTTGCCCGTGCAGTGCCTGGTGACTCGGAAGCTGTCCAGAGCAGCAGGGATATTCATCGACAGGATGGAGTTGGCGTTTTCTGCTTTCCGTGGTGCGCTGAGTATCCACACGGTTGCCGTTAAGGCACAGTTGAGAAAATCAGCCTTTCTGACCCAGGGGTGGCATGGGTGAGCGATGTTGTGTTTGCATCTGTACCTGCGCCTTTCACCACATCTCTCATGGAGAGGGGCTGTTCTCACCTGCTTTGTCAGTGGCTGAAGTTGGGTGCCGGGTGTTAGGCTGCGGAGATGCAATCCAGCATTCCCGTTGTAAGCAGGGCCCCTGCCCAGAAAAGTCTTTAAAGAGACGACAGTATTACGGCTTAGAATTGCCTCTTGACTCAAACAGAAACACAGCACAGCATCATCTTCAGCGCTCGGTGCAAGGCATTGAGGAGGCCAGCTGCCGAGTCTGGAGCCTGGGGTCGGCTGCTCCGGGCCCCTGCGTGGTCCAGGCATCTCCTGCCTGTGGCCTTGCAGGCTCCTTGAGCGCGTGTACAGGACAAGGACCCCGAGTGACCGGGAGCAGAGAGTACCACGCCCAGCAGTGATGCCGTCTGGCAGCAAAGCTGAGCGCCTGGCTTCCCTTCAAACCCTCCACCTGTCCCTCACCAGCCTCGTGACTTCGTGCCTGCCGTGGAACTTCCTGGAACTTTAGCTTCCTGACCTGGAAAATGGGCTTCTCACAGTACCAACTTCATAGACTCTTGGGGTTGCAATAAAACAGTCTGTATAGAGCCTCAAAAGGGACAGTAGCTGGTTGATTCTTCCTTTTAGCTTTTTTTTTTTTTTTTCCCTCTCATCTCATTTAGAATTGCCTTTCGATTTGAAGAGTGCCAGAGAGGCAGATGCACTGGGCTAATGGCCTTCCATCAGGCAGAGAGAGGGAGGGAAGTCATCAAGTTTTTAGGGCCATTAAATGAACATGCCAGGTTAATTAGGGAGCTGTGCGCAGGAAGGTGAGACCATCAGCCAGGTTCAGATAGGATCTGAATGCGTTTCTGAAGTCTTGAACTGGGGCCTCGCTGATTGCACAACTTTTGTTTTGATCCAGTTTTGGGCAGGGCTGTTGGGTGAGCTTCTGGGTTATAACACGGCCTGCGTTTTCTCTCAGCCAGACTCCCCAGACCTTGGGGCCACCCAAAGCCTTGGCAGCAAACCCCCAACCCCAGACACTCAATTTCTGGGAGAGAGATGTCTTGAAATCACCTCCACGGGGGAGGCCAAGTTCAGCGTTGTGTACCAGGCTCTTTGTTGTTAGCAGAATAGGGCGTGGGGGAGGGGCCTCAGGAAAGGTCTCTGGGAAGGGCCTGGGGTGGCGGAGACAGGATGGGTGGGCAGAGCGTGGCCCTGGCCTGCCACGGCGGCGGGCTCCAGCCACAGGAGCGGGAGTGACGGGACATCCCCACTTAGGAAGCCAAGCGATTCGACCAAGTATGGGTGTTTTTAGCATGGGCCCAGAGCAGGCCGGCTGCCTGGCCGGAGGGTGTGGGCTGTACCTGGTGGTGGCTCAGGTGCTGTGTTGCAGCCGAGAGGCAAGTCCGGTTTCAGAGTGCGAAGGACCTTGGCAAACGTGCAGCCCAGGCTTCTCATCCCTGACTTGGGAGAAGCAAGGCCGGAAGTGCCCGGTGACCTTTCTGCGGTTGCAGTCACAGGTCCGTGACTGAGCCGGGTCTCAGCAGCCTGCTTCTGGGGTTGCTCTTTTTCCCATCGCTCATTTAATGAGTCTCTCCCAGAACGAGAGGTAGAGTGCACTTTGAAGGAGCACAGAATTGTGGGATGCAACGCGCTTCCAAACATTGGACCCCTCATTCTGTTCACTTCCACCAAGATTTATTACCGTCTGCCGTACGTTGCTCACCGGGTTCAGTGGGGAGACACAGAGGTGACCACAAGCTCAGAGCCGGGTGGGAGAGACAGAGGAGGAGGCCAGCAGGCTGGGAGTAACCCTCCCGTCGGTGATTCGGTTGTCTCAGGGTTTTGGAGCCGGGATACGGTTGGTTGAAGCTTCGTTCATCAAACTGAGTTTGAATCTGGGCGGGACCCCTCCTCCCTGGATTGTTGCTGCCACTGCCATTGTTACCAGCTGCTATGTTTAGGAGCCTGGGCTGTGTCATGCTGCCCGAGTGCTTCAGGCCTTTCCCCCTGTGTACTGTGCATCCTGGGTAGACCCATTTCACAGATGGGAAAAGTGACCCCCAGGGAGGTTGAGTATCATCGTGCTGAGGGTGTGACGGCTGCGTGGTGTCAGACATGTGTGTCCCTTCACAAACTGGCGGCTGCTGGAGAAATGGAGGTGCTTCCTGGTGTTGTGTGGCTGGTGGCCTCTGGACTTGGATGAGGTCCTTTGCCAGTGGGACCAG